ACTCTTGGTTTAACTCTTAAACTCTTGACTTTGAACTTCAAATGAACTATTTGAAATTAATTTGTATGTACAGTGAGTGTGTTGTATGTATAGTGAGTATGTTGTATGTACAGTGAGTGTGTTGTATGTATAGTGAGTGTGTTGTATGTACAGTGAGTGTGTTGTATGTATAGTGAGTGTGTTGTATGTACAGTGAGTGTGTTGTATGTACAGTGAGTGTGTTGTATGTACAGTGAGTATGTTGTATGTACAGTGAGTGTGTTGTATGTACAGTGAGTGTGTTGTATGTACAGTGAGTGTGTTGTATGTACAGTGAGTGTGTTGTATGTACAGTGAGTATGTTGTATGTATAGTGAGTGTGCTGGTCTTATGTACTTTTGTGTGATTGTTGTTGTACTTTTCTCTGTCCTGTAGATGATTTCACATCAACCTGCCGAGGGACTGAAGATGGAAATTAGCCACGCTCGCTATAATCTTTACATATTTACATTTTAACTGTTCATTAATATGCGCTGTCAATTTACAAATAAATATATACGAAATAAATAAGAAATGTGTTTGTGTGTCTATGGTCAAAAATAGTGGCAAACTGGCAACGCAAAACACTCAACTAATCCAACTTTAAAAATGTAAGCATTTCTAATAAATTACAGGTGTAGTTTTATATGTTATGTCAATGTTCCACAATATGATATGGTAAATGCAATTAAAACATAGATGAACTGACAAGGTTTTTGATTCCAGTTTTCAAATAAAATGGGGAAAATTCAATACTTGCAAAATGAGCAGATCTGTAAACCAAATTTGTAAAAAAAAAAAAACAAAAATACATACTTAGTAATTACTATATCACTACAACTATGACCAACATAACCAACCATTCCCAGGCTGACGCTGTGGTCTCCATGGAGATGTTATTGCTTTATCTAGAATGTTCCACAGAATGGCATTAAACTTATCTACCTCCATGGATACAAGCATCTGATCCCACCAATCCAATTTGCAAGCAGGACAGATATGGAGATATGGAGAGGCGAGCCCACAATCACAGTATGAATCTCTGTTAATTTAGCAATAACACGTGTAAAGACTGACACATTTAATACCATACTGTGGAACATTTCTGTAGACCAGCAGGTGGCAGACATCCCACTGGAAATCTGCGCAGTGCGCCTCTAAATAAAGTTCAAGGAGGTAGCAAAGCAAGTCTCATAAAACAGCACGGGTTGGGCTTTAGAAAAAAGGTTTACGGAGAAAATCTTGGTAATAAGTGATCTTAGCCATTTTTCTAAACATGATAAATTTTGTTATCTTGACCCATTTGTTTGAGACGCCAAAGTTGAGATATAAACTGTGAACATATTTTTGTTTCGCGACGCCCTCGGCCCACAGGAGCTCAGTATTACTCAGACACAGCAGTAAACATTTGGACAGTGCCCTCATACTGATACTGTGAATAATCTTCCCTGTTCATTATCCTCCTCCCACTGGCCCCGCCCACTTCTGCCCAAAAATAAAACCATGACTGCAGCGTGCACATAAGGCAGGTTCAAACATCTCAAAGGGCACAGCTGAAGCTCATGCCCCCACACTTGTAAAATGTTTGACGCCATGACAAATATTCACAGCAGTTTAATACATACGGTGAAAGAAGTACACATGTAATACCTATGTTACTTTGATAATCTAGCTCTATTTATTGTACTAGAAGTGAAAAGTTTATCACTGCTACTATCTATACCACATTATATTCATAGTCTACAACTACTACTACAATTACAATCTGGTAATTAATATTCTGTGAGCTCTAAATATACAGTACAATTCTTTAAAGATGCATTCTGTAACTTTTCTGGTAAGTTAGACCTTTATTTGTCCCGCAATCTAGAAATTAGAGTGTTGAAATGCAAAGTTCAAGAACAGCAGTACAATGTGTGTTATTGTAAATCACTTAGGGTGTCTAGAAAGCGCTATATAAATGGAAGGTATTATTATGATTATGATTATGATTAGTTGTAGTAGTAGTAGTAGTAGTATTAATAAGAACATGCAATCAAAATTAACAAAATTAACTGTTGGTAGGAGGTCCATCACCTGCTTTAAATCTTGAATTAATCAAGTTATATTACTCAAAACATTACTGAAAACTATAAAACATTACTGTCAGAAAGCTCGCCTGTCCACAGATCTGACCTGGAACTGCAACTTGTTTGTCACCATGGAGATAGATATGTTTAATGCTATACTGTGAAACATTCCAGACACAAAAACTTCTTCTTCTATATTTGTGAGACTTACATGGACACTCTAAATCTGATTATTTTCAGATTTTTTGTTATAATGCTATAAAAATGTAGCCAGGCTGGCATCATCTAGTGCCTCCGCTCAATTTCATTTCTCTCCAGCGACTAGGTCAGGAATCAGAATACACGAGACGGTTCACAAAAACCCCGGAAGTGCGAGTTCGGGCATCAGACAATCAGCGAAGAGCCATACATTCTGTGTTGGCAATGATTCCCGAGATCGAGGATTTAAAGCCGGAACAAAGAGAATGTTTGGTGAATTTTATCAAGGGGAAAGACGTTATTGCCCTTCTTCCTATGGGATTTGGGAAAAGCTTAATATACTAGTTAGCCCCGTTAGCAGCGCATTACATATGTCATGACCAAATAGCAGCAATTGGTTAAACAAAAAAAATACGAATTAAATTATGAATTCTAATGCTGTGAGGTCAGACGGTTTCTACGAAGTGAAACCGTCTGATGAATCTGGCAAATAAAAATGACCTATAAACAGGAAAAACATCAGATTTCTTTCAGATCATGGTTCCTCACATCAGATTTTGTGGTTTATATGGCATTTAAATGATTTAAAATGTTTAGAAATCACATAATAACCAGACTTTGATTTGCACGCGAACTGTCTGAGCCTGCCTGTTTGAGTATCTATTTTCCTCTTGTGCTCCTGTCTAAGAGTTTGACGTGACCCGATCACTTCTCATCGTGTTGTGTGTGTGTGTGTGTGTGTGTGTGCGTTCCATTCCCATCACCATGGCGACGGGGGGGGCACACATGGGCAGGCTGCGTCTACCGTGTGTTCTGGAATCCTGCGCGGCATTCTGGAACCCACGGCCTCATTTTTCCCATAATAATCCCCATGATATTCTAGCATCAGAATCGACAGAATTACTATCACATTTCTGAAATCTGCTGCCACTGCTGATGGAAATATTACTTTGAGAATGGATTTAGTTACTGAATACTGAATAGCTGCATTAAAACATACTTTGTAACATATTCTATTTCTGTATTCTGAACACTGTGAATAATTTTAGTTGTATTTACATTATAGCGTAAAGATTAAACATAGTATTAGTATTAACAGCTTTATATTTGTTTTACTGTTTTTAAAGCATTTCCTGTCATTAATTGGAGGTGGGAAAATCACACATACACTCACCGTAAGAGCAGAGTGGTCTATTTTTGTCACTGATAATGTGCAGTTTGAAGTATCATGATCAGATTGCTGGGTTTCAGTAGCCTGATTCATTAGCCGGTTTCACTTCGTGGAAACCGTCTGACCTCGCAGCATTAGAATTCGTTCACTCGACGGTAGGCGGGTACTTTTTTTATTTAACCAATCGCTGCTATTTGGTCGTGACGTCTGTAATGCGCCTGGTATATTAAGCTTTTCCCAAATCCCGTAGGAAGAAGGACAATATCGTCTTTCCCCTTGATAAAATTCACCAAACATTCTCTTTGTTCCGGCTTTAAATCCTCGATCTCGGGAATCATTGCCAACACAGAATGTATGGCTCTTCGCTGATTGGTGCCTGGACTCGCACTTCTGGGGTTCTTGGGAACTGTCTTGGGAACTGTGATTCCTGACCTAGTCGCTGGAGAGAAATGAAACTGAACTGGCTAGTTTTTCAGAGGACATCACAGCTTTCTATAGGCCATTGTTGATTAATACTAATGGGGGGCAAAATTATGTTACAATACAATACTTGGATTTGGTCATAATTGAAAATACCAGGTAAACAACTGTGAATTTACTTTTTGGATATTTCATAGTAAAATACAATGTAATCAATAGGGATAATCTGGAAATATAACACCATCACATTCAAGAATCTGAAAACTACCAATAATGTAATGTACTCCTTTGATTTTAGAAAAGTAACTGCATTCTGAATACCACCAAATGAAAAGCAAAGTGTACCAGAATACAGTTACTCAAAATCAGTAATGAGAATACATAATCGTGCACATGTATTCAATTACTTCCCAACACTTGCTACCACATTCTGAGCTGCAGTTGTAAACTTATTTTTTATAGCTGTCTCTTTACTGAGACTGACACAGCCTACATAGCCAAGAGTCAATATGGATTATTTTCAAATCTGTATTAGAGCCGTGCGATTGGGCGATACTCCCTCCTGGGCACAGACTAAAGGTCACAGCACCAGTCTGGACCACATCAGAGTGAAAAGTTTCAGCCTGCGCCCGCTTTAGGACGAGGTATGGTTAAGCCGGTGGGTGGGCACAGCTTACGGGGCGGGTACAAAGATAGGAGACGAGAGGCAGTCCTGCGTATCATGGAGTCACATGCCTGGCTGGATAGAAAGCAGGACAAAAACACAGATGGAAGGAGCTCTAACTGGGACATAGGCATAGATGCTTTTACATGACTTTTGTGTTGGCTTTCTAATCCTTACCCTGCTTCATAACAGCATAACATAAACATAATAACAATTTTGACAACTTATAAAGCCATACATTTTGCTTTCATTGTTTGCAGCCTGATTTCTAATACCATTTTCACTGACATACCTCTCCTTAGCCCTTTACATTTACATTTTCACAGCATTTTGTGAACCTATAACTCCCAGCAAGCGTCCTATCAAAACTTTACTTTGCCATCTCCCCACCTTTCATTTCCAATGTTGACTAATACCTAAACTTCATAATCATAGTCAGCATCTCTCCTTTTCTTTTTGGATGGATAGCTACTGCGTTTTGTACAGCTCAGCCCACCGGACCGGGCTACTTGCCGGCTTCCAGCGATTGCGAACAGAGCATAAGATGTGTGACGTTGTGCTGCAAGCTGGTGGCCTAGATTTCCCTTGTCATCGCGCCCTTTTAGCCAGCTCCAGCGAGTATTTTTGGGCGCTGTTTGGAGAAACCACAACAGAAAGATTAGCAGACTCTGTTAGCCTCCCCGCGCTAACACCTGAAGGACTGGACGCCATTTTGGATTTTTTATACTCCGGCTGGCTTAGCATTTCCAAGCAGACTCTTCCTGTTGTGTTGGAGGCGGCGAGATACTTGCAAGTGGACAAGGCTGTTGCTATTTGCGAACGTTATATCATTGATAGCTTGTGCGCTGATAACTGTTGCGGCTACGCTGACCTCGCCGAACGCCATGCCCTCCAGGATGCACTCGAAGCTGCCAATCATACTATCGCCATGGAGATGAAGGTTTTGCTTCAAGAAAACAGGGAAGATCTGCTTGGGTTAAACATCCAGTCATTAATGGATGTTTTCGAAGCCGATGAGATACCTGGCGTGAAGGAGGTGGAGCTTATAAAACTGGCGTTGGATTGGCTGGATGAAAACGGGCCCCTCCCACTTTTAAAATCAAACCTTTTGCTGAGCCGGTTACGATTTGGACTGGTCGCCTCTTCCGATCTTGCAAATTTTAGCCACAAAGCGATGAGTACTCCGTTGATACGAAGCCAGCTGACTCGCGCGTTGGAATATCACGCATCTGCAATCGAAAAGCCGATCAAACAAAGCAAGCAAACCACACTGAGATCATCGCCCAATCGCGTGCTTCTTGTCGGAGGCGGGTCGAATCCCGATTGGCCGGAGCAGCAGATGATGATGTTTGACCCCAGAACCAGGAAGTTTACATGCTTACAATCTGAACTACCAGTACGGCTAAAACATCACTGCGTTTGCTCGATTGGCGGCTTTTTATTCGTGATTGGTGGCGAAGAAGTAAAAGACTGGCTACAAGACGGGAAAAATTCTGTGACAATTTTGACGAGTAACAAAATGTGGAGATACGATCCACGTTTCGACCAGTGGGAAGAGATGGACTCCATGATGGAACGGCGATCGCAATTTACATGCTGCGTCGTGGAAGATATAATTTACGCCATTGGTGGACGACAACATCATCAACAAGCGAGCACGTGTTTGGCATCTGTCGAGTATTTTGACATGACTATGCGATCTTGGAGAAAGGGCCCACCGTTGCCAAACCCGATATTCGGTCATGCTACAACTGTGCTGGACGATAAGATCTATGTTTCCGGTGGAGTACAAGGCAACCAAGCGAGTATTTTGGTAAACAACTCAAGCTACAGTCCCGATCACCACAGAGAAACAAGCAAAGACGTGTTATGCTGGGATGTTACGACGAAAAACTGGGAGAAGAAAGCGTCTATGACAATTGCGAGGTTCGGACACCAGATGGCGACGGCGAACGGCTACATATACGCTTTGCTTGGTATGTACGAGCCATTTTGTGACATCGAAAAATACGATTCAAACTCAAACAGCTGGACAAGACTCCGGCCACTCCTCAACGGATCATTTAACTACGGAATGGTGGTTATGCCGTCTGGGAATTTGTTTGTTTTCGGGGGGAGGAAGTGGAATGATGGACAAGAAGTTATAGTTAAAACTGTTTTGGAATACGATACAAAGAAAGATCACTGGAGAGAGGTGAGCCAGCTCCCAAAAGGCATAGCTGGGGTTGAGTGCACGCTGCTGCCCATACCAGACTGAAGCATGAGACGGGCCGTGAGGAGGGATTTGACAAGTAGACAGATTAAATGGTCCGAGCGAAGGGAGCCGCAGATGAAGTAGGTGTAACGCAGTCCCATGAGTTCAGTCGGACAAGTATAGAAACAAAATCACAACATGAGACCTGTTTTCACACTTCTTGGACAACAGAGTGAGAGACCTTGTGGCTTGACCTATTGTGTTATAGCAGTCCAAATGTGAACTCTATTACAAGTATTTTTTGGGTAACAGGGTAGATCAAACTAGCTCCAAGACTAACAAATGCATTTTACTGCAGATTTTATGGTGCAGTTTTAAAGAGACTACCTACAGTATTTTGTAGTTTTGACTAGGGCTGCTCAATTATGGAAAAAATCATAAATTTTGGTCAATACTGAAATCATGATTATTCAAACCATTATTTTTTAGTTACACGATGCATTTATTCAGCATTTCTTTCTAAAAAAAAAACCCCACTTTGTTATTGATAATTTTGCACAGAACTTTCAAATTGGAAATAAATATAGGCTACAAATATGTACCTTAGAGCAGTTTTGTGATGTATAAAACATAAAATGAATAAAATATACTATAACATGAAATAAAGCATAGAAAAACATTAATGTATCCAAAATAAACTATACATCCAGCTGTTCTACAATCTCTATATTTAAAAATGAAATAAATATACTTATTTATATTTAAAAAATCCCCAAATAAACTTTGTTAAGCTTAATAGTTTCAACTCGATTATATGAGTGTGGAGATTGTTTGACACGCAAAACAAAATTGTGATCAAAATTCAACTAATTGCACAGCCTTAAGTTTTGACCCAATTTGCTGTAATTTTGTTTGCATTATTGCAGTAACATCAATTTGCATGGGCTTAAAGTCAAACATAACTGCACTTTTCTCGGGTCGTCACCATGGAGATTGCCTTAAACGTGCACTATGTAAATGCACTATGCCGATGCTCTGAATGCTTGGTCCTATGGAGAGTAGGGGTGTGCAAAAATATCAAAATACTGATATATCACATCATCTAATATGATGATACAGTATTGATATTGTGGGCTGCTATATTGATATATCGCCAAGAGTATTTTTGGTATATTTTACTTATTCATTTAGTTAAAGCGCTACAGTTTTGTTGCTTGTTTAGTGGAAGGAAACTTGTTTATGCAACACATTTAACATACTCACTGTTTTGATGATTAAAATGCACAAGTGGTTTAACAAAGACTGTTAGTAACACAGCCATGATTTAGCCTTTATTTTTATTGAACCGTATCGAATAGATTTGAAATATATCGTATCGAATCTAATGGAAAGGTTATTGCTTTACCTGGTATGTTACACAGTATAGTATTACACTGTATAATTTGCACGGATTTAATTACAGATGCTGTTATGAATTTTTTTTTTTTAGTGCTTCAAAATATATTTAAAAATCAGAATTGTTTCTATGGTCGGGCTCGCCTCTCCACAGACTTGACCTATAAATCGGCCTTATTTCTTCACCTGCTTGTCTCCTTTTTAGCATGCAATGTTTTCATACAAAAATAACCCATTTTATGTGTAAAAACGTGACTTTCAAAATAGAAACATGCAAGAAGTCCGGTTTAAATTTCTTGCTTGTTGACATACTAGACACTAAAAATACACAGAGGGGATTTTGGATATCTTATTTAGAATGAAACTAGATCTGACTGGAAATTTGCCTAAAAATTTTGCTATTTTTAATTTTTATTATTATGATTTGATTGTTAAAACTTTAATAAATCAGCTGCTTCACATATTTTTAGCTTGTTTCGCCCCCAGTTTGAAATTTGCTTTATTTTCCTTACACATAATTTTTATTCCCTTTACTTTTCATCCAAGAAATCTCCACTGTGACTGACAGTAATATCCAAGTCAAACCTCACCGCATCTGTATAAAAATCCATATCTCCCGTTATGTATGAATGTGAAAATTGCTATGGACGGATATGGTTGAAAATTACAGGATCTATTGCCATCTTCGCTGTAATATCTCTTATACGTGACTGTGATCCAGCAGTAAAGCAGAAATGAAAACGCGGTGTACAGAGGATAGCAGTGATTGCGGAGAACCAGTGAAGCTGACGTGATTTGATTTAGTGTAAAAAAGGTAATTCCTGAACAGATGAAACTGAACAGAGGAGACAGGGGAGCTTACGGGGAGGAGTGGACAAGATCAAGGCAATGGGAAAAAATGAAAACAAGAGAAGATAAATATTTTATGTAGAAAAATGTAAAGCACATTCCTGTTTATGGCCAGTGTTGAATAATTGATCTGTTTTCTATTGGGGACACGTAGAGAAAACCTGTAAACCAGTATTGTTTCAGTATGTTGTCTTTGTTTAGAAAAGCTTCGACAAAATGAACGCACGTTTAAAGGGCCTATATTACGCTATTTTCTGATCTAGAGTATGTTATAATGTTGTTTCCTCATCGAAAACATAGCTGGAGTTGTGTTTTGTTTCATTCACACATGTTTAACACACAAATTCTGCATATTTGGGCGGAGTTCTTAAACAGAAAACACTCTGTTCCAACTTGTCATGTCATTTGGTAATACAGGAAGTGCTCCACTGTGTTTTTAAACTCCGCACACGTTCATTCACCTAAAATGATTTGGATTATTTCAGACCTAGGATTGTCAATTTGTACTTCACTAAAAGTCAGTGGCAGAGTTAACAATTTGGGGCCCTAGGCGGACTTGAGTTTGGGGCCCTCACTATAATGCACTGTTTTGTTGTTTTTTTTATTTAATTTTTTTGGATTTATTTATTTAATTTGATATATTTATTGTCTGTTCTTCCCCATTGTTAGGGTGTTAGGGTGGACTAGAAACGCGTCTTATTAGTTAGGGAGCCAACTTGATAACCAGAACTGAAAGTAGTTTTATTTTTTATTTTTTTTTTTTTTTTTGCTATTACAGTTACATTTTTGTTTACATCCATTATATATGATTATGATTATGTTATTATTATGTTCAAACCAGGGTCAAGCTGACTAGTCCATTGTAACTTGAAAGTGGGGACACTTTGACAGTTAAAATAGATTTGACAATCAGATACTATCTTTATTTAAAAAAAAAAAAAAAAAAAAAAAAAAAAAAAAAACTACTCTCATTTAATGTCATACTGAGAGAAAATCAAATTGCTCTGTGGTAATGGCAAGGACAATTGTTTGGGGCCCCCTCCAGGTTCGGGGGCCCTAAGCGGTTGCCTATTTTTGCCTAATGGTAGCACCGCCTCTGTAAAGGTAAAAGGTAGCCGTTAACTTGAAAACTACCACTACTGTACATGACATCACAAGGTGGAACAGAACATTTTGATCTTAGGAGATAAACTGACTAACAAACCAAGTTTACTCAAACGTGTGAATGAAACAAAACACAACTCCAGGTATGTTTTTGTGGAGGTAGCAGCATTATAACATGGCTTAAAGCTCACAAGAGTCAATTTTGTGTAATATTTGAGTAATATAGACCTTTAAACAAAGCACAAAAGAATATTAAATAAGCATTTTTAGTTATAATTATGGATTGTGGCTGTTTCAATCTAATAATTGTCAAAACACTGTACTGATCTCAATCTAGTAATTTAAGCAGAGAATGAATATGAGTAAGGCAAACGTAATCTGATAATTGTCATAACACTTAAAACAGTGCATTGATTTGAATATTGATTTGTATTTACCATAATATTGGACCCACATTCCATTATAATACTCAAACTGATGGTTCAATTGAAATATATTAGGCTGACCTTTCATTGTCCGATAATTGCAACGATTTTCAGTGTGTATTTTAATGTCAGCAGTTCTAATACGTGTTACTTAATAGGTTCATGGATTTTTCTAAATGAGTTAATTCCCTGCTCTAGACTCTCTGAAGGTGTATTGTTTCACGGACTACACTGGTTTGTTTCAGTGTGTTGCGTAATTTAACATTTTACATTCAAAGTGTAGAGATGGGCAAAGAAAATTAATTAAGAAAGAATTATTATGTACTTGTTTATTGTGGATGGTGATTTTATTTTCTTTCAATTGTGGATTTATGTGTTCTCTGACCCACTGAATGCTCTTTATTACAGATTGTGGTTGTGAATTGTGACCAATAATAAAAATATACAAAGCACAATTGAGTTTTTTTATGTAAAAATCTGAGTTTGCTGCGAAATAAACTTTATATTAAGCAAAACTGACTCTTGGGAGCTTTAAGCCATGTTAGAATGTTGTTTCCGCATTTTTAATTTTTATTATTATGATATTTTTGCTAAAACTTTAATAAATCAAATGCATTACAAGTTTTGTTTTTGTTTTTTTTAGTTTTTTTGACCCCAGTTTGAAATGTGTTTTGAAATTTGGAGTTCTTAAACAGGAAACATTTTGGAGCTTAGGAAATATACAGACTAACTAAAAAAGTTTACTCAAACATGTGAATGAAACAAAACACAGCTCCAGGTATGTTTTTGTGGAGGTAGCAGCATCATAACATGGCCTAAAGCTCACACGTGTCAATTTTGTGTAATATTTGTGTAATATAGACCTTTAAATAAGGCACAAAAGAAAATTAAATAAGTATATTTAGTTATAAGATTTTGGAAATCTTAAAAACATAACATAGCTGGAGTTGTTTTTATTTCATTCATACATTTGGTTAACACTTTATTATTAGTCTGTCTACATTTCCAAAGATTGAAATGCTCTGTTCTACCTTTTTTATGTCATTAAGTGGTAGTTTTCAAGTTAACAACTCCCTTTTACCTTTTGTTTAGTAGACTTTGGGCAATTCCAGAGCTGAAATTATCCAAATTATTCTACTAAAGGTGTGTGGGGTTTAAAAACACAATGGAGCACTTCTTGTATTACCACAGAACATGTAGTAGTGAAGTGTTTTCTGTTCGAGAGAAGAACTCAGCCTAAATATGCAGCTTGGTTTTGAGTGTTAAACATGTATGAATGAAACAAAACAC